AGGCCCCTTTCCTCTGAGGACGGAGCTGGGAGTGCACGGGAGCGGCGTCCTGCCGTGGTGCGACCGGCTCTTCTTCCAGGGGTGGCCGAGAAGGGCAGGGAGAAAGAGGCCTGTGTTCATGTGGAGAGGAAGCCTCACATCCTCTGGCCCCTGTCTTGCCTGCGCTCAGCCCCAAGGTGGAGAGCTCTGGTGAGGGGCCTCAGGGTGAGGGGAAAACAAGTTGGTAGGAAAGGGAGAGCCTGGATCCTGTGGAGGCCCTCCCAGAATCCTCCGCCCTGCAACTCAGTTTCTAGCTGCTGCCAGCCTCCATGCAGCAGAAATGGCTGCAGACCACAAAGCATCCTGTGCTGGCAATTTAAAAGCAATAAAAGAAAATGACATTTTTTTAATGGAACACCCATCCTGAAATGAATGATGAGCTTCATAATGAGGGACATTTGAGATACATGGGTGGGTGAAATTTTATAGCTGTGGGAGGTGAGGGGAAGATATCATTTTCAGCTTGAAGCAATTGTTTTTGGCAGGCTAACAAGCCCCTGACATTGCAATGACTCATATGACTGCTTAGGATAATGCAATACTACTTACACAACTTGTTAACAGAGATACTGTGATTGCACAGTTTATTGCCAGAGTTGAATTTGGGGGGGGAAAAAAGGTACTGTAATTAAAAAAATAAGAAAAAGAAAAAAGGGATCTTACCTGATCTTACTTCAGTAAGATAAAGAGCATTAACACTAGCTTGTGAACAACAGATATTGCTTTTTCACTTCCCTTTTGATAAATGCTGAGCTTGTTATCAGTTTAGGTCTTTTTCACCTAATTCTTCATAATAAATGCAACTACAAGGCAGGAATCTTATTTTGAGGTTATGTTGCGAGGGTCCACTGTAAAAAACAAAAGAAGATGAAATTTCAATTCCAGGAAGACAAACTAGCCCAATTTGCATTTCCCTTTGCTTTAGTTGGCTAGTGGCTAATTCTCTGGTGTAATCTCAAAAGACCCCCTTTCCATGCTCCTGGGGTTTTAGACTCTCAGGGGAAAAAAAAATGTACTCATGCAAAAATAACATCACAGTTCTGGAGTACTCAAAAAATCTGGGCAGTGCACAGAAGTGGTAATAAGCTTTGCTTACTACCAGTGCCTAGGTCATCCAAGTTCAAAATGCAGGATAATTTTTCTCATTTAAATATAGAATTTATCATATAGAAGTCTCACATCCTTGTTTCAAAATGAAATAGAAAAATCTAGCAACTGAATCAGTGACTGAAAAGGAGAAGCTCAAACTTCTACATTTGCTGTGTGAAACAAGCACATTTTTCAATGTAGTCCTAGTAGATAAGATTTCATTAGCCTCTTTTTTTTTTTTTTGACTGGCTAGCAATAAATAAATAAAACCACTTATGAAAAGCTTTAAAATACATCACTCTTACGAGGGAGTGAGTTTCTGTTTTTTTTTTTTTTTTTTTGTGTGTGTATTTTACAGACAGAATTGTGAAGCTCCAGGAGAGAGAGGAGGAAAGTAAGATCACAAAGGAAATTGTGAACAAAACCTGAGAATAGTAAGTTGGCATTCCTACACTTATGTCCTACCGAGGTCTACTTCACATACTGTCTGGTGAGTGTAAATTTGTTTTGAAGATTCATTCAAGCAGAGACCCTGTTGTGTTCTTGTTCCCAATGTATACTGCAATGCTCTGATACCTTAAGGTAGAGCTCTGCCATTAAAATATCTATAAGTTAAAGCATTCTAGGTAACAGTGTGAAAACAAGCAAATATCAAAGATACATTTCATTTCAAAATTCCATGAAAGTATGCTGATAAAGTTGTTTTTAAATGAAAGAGTTTATCTAACATAGATGCGTCTGCATTTTCTTGTCGTGTGGGCCTATTACAATGAGATGTACATTACAACAAGAAGTAGACACAACATAAAAAAGCTATAGGTCAGTTGCCTTCCTCCACATCTCATTATCTGCATACAGCCTTGAGATGGAAACCACAGCATACCACATCCAGTCAATTGAACCACACTCATGTTTCTTCAAATAAAAATGCAGACTACGTATCTGCTCCCATTTCTTTTCTGCTTATAAACCAAGATTGTTTTTCAACCAGAAATGTTGCTATCTGAAGGTCAAATTGTTTGAGTCATGGGAATATCTTTTTTGTTAACATATCAATAATTATACAGACATTTTTACAAATATCTGGGTTTTTCTTTTATGATGAAACAGCAAATGACTAGCTAGCAGCTAGATGATCAGGCATTTGCTCTGCCCTCAGGATGCCAGGGAGTCACAAATTGGACCTGAGTTTTCAGTGCCATACTGTTCTGAAAAAATGAATCATACTAGAATTTATATACAAGATAGTGTATAAGAAACATGAAGCAACTCATTAGTTCCATGCATCATTGGTAGGACTTCAAATGAAGTACTATGCCCACTTATAAGAATAGTTAAGATAAATGTATAGCAATTGGAAATAAGATAATGACAGGAACTTACTTGATTCCTCTGCAGTGCAGCAGAAAATGCAACACTCTATACTGCTTTACCTGCAGCTTTTGTTAAATCATCTTTCAGATGTCCAGTTCTGTATAAGTTGTACTTCTCAGTGCCTTTGAGAATACACCATTTCATTCTGTGTGTGCCTTATCATTGCTTCTTATGCACAGAATGTTCTGTTGCTTACCGTTTCCTGATGCTCAGGTAGTTTTTCTGTTGATCTGGGTTATTCCATTGAATCACTAAATTAAGGTCCAAACCGATACCAGGATTCTGAAAGGCTGATACAACTCTCCAAATCATGATGAGGACAACCTTGTTGTAACCCTTTAGTTCTAGAAATATATTGTCTTAAACTTCAATACAGTTGTCCTTTTTGTGTAATTTTCAGTTGTACACTGCCTGACTTCTACTGTCTTGTTATTCACATTGTCATACTCAGAATTCCCTGTAAAATTGTGCTATTTTTGGGATACTGGAGACCAGTTCATTCATAGTAGTCCTTTTTTTTTTTTAAGTTGCTATCTTCTCTATATTGCCATACATGAAAAACAGTTAAAATGGAAGGACATGCTGTCAATATCACGCTGTCAATATCATGCTTATTAAACTCTTTCCGTGACCTCATATGTAGCAATATCTTAATCTATGTGGTTTAGTGTTTGCAGTCATTACTGTCAGCCCTTCTGTAGTTCATGGTGACCTTCTGCAGTAAGTCATATCAAAGAGTATATCTGGAATCATACAGGTGAAATACATAGTACTCATATAATGAGAACCCATTTAATATTACATTAACCAATACGTAAGTAAAAGTTTGCAGCTGACACTATATTTTTTATGCTGTGAAGATTCGATCTTTCATCGCTTCACTTAGCTTAGAGGTGTGAAAAGATCTAATGAATAGTGAAATTCTGGGCACTTGTACTTCACTGATAATAAAATGAAGTTACCATATGCAGGCAAATTCTAAGGAGTTTGGTTATCAAAAGCTGTTGTTTGCTAGATATTTGATGCCTTCTATAAGGACTTTGGAAGTTAATTCCCGGACTTATCTCAGCCAACATATACAGGCAGGTACTCTTGAAGTACGTTTTACATTTTTAACCTTATTAAAAGAAACGAAAGTGGAAGTCTGTAAAACTATTTGCCTATGTAGCATTTTCTTGTGTCTTCTCAAGGAAGTTAGTCATAAAATTATAAACAAATAACCTATTCTGGTAGTGTCTTTAGTTAATTTTGGATTCCATACAAAAGAAATAAAAGTTTTGCATAGAATCCCATGGAACCAAAGTCATACTCTGTCTTTAAATTAATTTCTCTCTCTGGTTTCCACAGAATATTTCTGCAAAGTCTTTTTATCTCATGCTCAATTTTAGTCCCCAAGAGAAATGTTATGACACTTTCTTTAAGATAAAGCCCATTTCTTTCTCACAAGGTGATTTGAACAGTAGTTGGAGGATGGGCTGTAGTTATTTACATTAGCCAGTTCCAGTTTCCCCAGACTGACAGAAATTCCCATGGAAATTTTGGTTGCATTAACTTTGACAGAGATATGGGACTGTTTTTGGAAACTTGAAAAAAACAGCTAGGGAATACTTTTCATTTTTATTAATATGTGATATCTTCATTTTGTTTATTAAAGAAATAAATCAAGGTTAGTTTCTGCTTAGTTTCAGATGCTTTTCACAGGAGACAAAAAAAGAGAAGTCTGACAAATACTGGCCAAGCATTAACCCAGTAAGAAATCTCATAATGTCAGAAATCCCGAAGTGGACAGTAATAAAATGAATAG